TCTCTCTCTCTCTCTCTCTCTCTCTCTCTCTCTCTCTCTCTCTCTCTCTCTCTCTCTCTCTCTTTCTCTCTCTCTCTCTCATATCTGTTTGTTTGGTTCAGCAGCTGAACTACATTTCACTTTGAAAATGAAGCTCTTGGCTGCAAGAAAATCAGGTTAAGACTGAGTCACACGGCTGACAGATGTAATGGATTTACTTACTTTACCGTAAAGTAAACACATTATCTTTACTCACTTCAGTTGAGTGAAACCAGTTGACATAATTTTTAAACTAAATTCACTAGATCTGTTTTCGATGCCAGTCAGGGTCTGCATCTTTTACAATCAAAAGACTCATTTTTACTCCTTGGCACTAAACGTACATGTAGCCATTTCTGTTGTGAGTTCAACCAAAAAAAAAAAATGTCATCTCATGTTTGCTTTGGTCAAATGGACCAAAGAGCTGCAGGTTGCAGACCCCTAATAATGGTGAACAACATGTCTGGTGTTCAGGTGGCAGAAAGTAGACAACTGTCAAGATTGAGGTTATCAGCCTGGGTGGGGCTGAGTTATAATGACACAGGGACATGAGAATGGGCTCGTTATTAAGACAGAGCTCAGTTTTCAAACAGAAACTTTTGTTACACTCTTCATCCGTTATTTTGGTGATCAAACTGTAACCTGCAGCTGCACACTGTGGGGGGCTGCACTGTAGAGCTGTGGTAAAGGTCACGTTTGCTGCCACGGCTCTGCCCCCCCCCCCCCCCCCCCCCCCAAAAAAAAAATCCTATGAAGTGTCGGTGCACAGCCAGACAAAGGCTCCCTGTTATCCTGTCTGCACAGATGGGTTACTGACGCCAAATTTGCTTAAAAAGACAAAAAGAGGACTCTAACCGTAGGGGGAAAATGGAAAAAATGTCGACCCCACAACCTCACCATCACCCCCACTGTATCCCAGCGGGCGGTGAGGGGCGCGTGCAGCAAGTGTGCCTCTGGGAAGGACTTGTCATTTTGGAAGATCACTGAGCTGCACTTTAAAATGTTTTGCACATTCACTGATTTGTATTAATTGATAGCAGAATAACTTTCTAAGCACATGAAAACAAATACAACAAGGAAAAGACACAAACAAAAAMAGACCACAACCACAAATTAAATGCAGCAAACAGCCTGATTTTTTTTTCTCAGACTTCATGTGACTGAGGGCCGATGTCTGTGCATTGTGGTAGTTTGCAGAGAACAGTGTGAACATGAAGCAGCTGGGAGGACTAAAGACCGAGGGTCTAATCAGTACAGAAACACATTCATGAAAGATAAAACATGATCTCAAAGTTCTCAAAACATGGAGAAAAAAAAAAACAATGACAACAGTGGAAAATGACATGGCTTTGATAATTCTCCTCCTCTGCTGCCTTTCAGCTCAGAGATTTAAGATGATCTAATTATAAGAACTTACAAAGAAGTAGCCATTCTGGTCCAACCTTGAAAACAATCTTAATCTAATGCTCAGATGCTGTGAATGACTCTCAGCTATACTACCACATCAAATTTTACCAAAATACCTGCGATGATATATCTAAAAGTTATGTCTAAATGTAAAGAGTAAAATTTGTAATTCAATGGTATAATTAATTGTGGTAATACTCTTTTGTTCCATGAAGATGGAGTAAACCAAATGGGAAAGAGCAAAGCAAGTGGGCTCGTAAAGGGCTTATTTATTTCTAGTCCCAGGTGCTTTAATTAATAAAATCACGCTAAAACGTGATGATCTAGATATGAAAACGTCTCAGACTGAGTTCAGTCATTTGCATACAGAACTGAGAAACAAACATCTCACGATGGCTTGGATGCTACAACCATAAGAGTCAAGCTGAATGGAGTTTCGGTGTGTGTGTGTGTGTGTGTGTTGGGGGGGGGATTAGAATGGTTCAGTTGGACCTATTAGAAGCTTGCAGACGGGGTACCCACGCCAAAACCGCGTGCAGATCAGATGTCCTGCATTTAAAGTTTACAGAAAACAAGGACAACCCAATGCGCGCGCAAGGATGAGAGTTTGATAGAGCTTCGGTGGGATCCAGAGGTGTGTGTATGTGTGGTGGGCGTGAGGGGGTGAAGAGGCGATGGGGGAGGGGAGCGGGATTGGGATCTCTGTAACAGACAGCCATCTGGTCCCCTTGGCGCGTGCTGCGCCCGTGGTTCCCCTGAGTGCAGAGGTATTTGATGGGCTGTCATGTTCCTCCTGTTTTTGTTTAAAATCAGATAACCKGGGAACTTTTGGTGGGTTTTTTTTTACAGTCCTTCCAATTAAGTGTTGACTAACTACCTATGCGACCCCCAACCCCGCACAAACATATCAGAAAATTAATCATATAAAGATATTTGTGTGTTAATTTGAGGTTTACTCTGGCTGATGCGGAGTCATATTGGATTACTCCTGCTTTGTCCGCGTTCCCGAGACAAGGGCCACGAATGATTTCTGTTATAAACCTGGCACAACACCTGGACATGAGGTTTAATTATCAAATATCTGTTGTAGCTAATCTCTCTTAACATTTTAACTCAAGATAGCTCAAAACGGGGTGTTACGCTGCGCTGTAGCTTTTGTGTTGGACAACACGCAGCCTCCTCATCCCCTCCCCACCTCTCGTTTTGCAGCCACCCCCCCATGGCTCACAAAGCGACAGCAGCGCTTCCTACAGGTGATCTCCCCCMCTTCCAGGCAGAAGCTGCGTAAAAACGTCAGATGGTTATGCAAAACTATTGTAGTCAAAATCAAAGAGTAYGCGTTGTTTGAAAACAGCGTGGCTTGGGTGTATGATTGGTTGTGATTGGTGTAGGAGTGTGTTGATGTGAACATACCCCAGACTCTGACCCATATGCTTCACAACCTATAGTGCGTCCTGTTGTTCTACTTTCGATGTTTATTCATACTAACATTTGAATTAAATATTTAGATGAATCTTACTCGCATCTTAAATACAGAACAATAAAGCTTTGAGCAGAGCAAAATCGTACACCAGTTCTTGCAAAATTAGTGTTTTTTTACTTTTGTATATTAAATAAGTGCATCTTGAAGTGTTTTATATTTAGATAAACAACTAAAGCAGTCACATAAGCCAAATTGTAGTTTATATCCACGTTGGAACACTGCGCAATTACGCACCGATGATAGGATGTGTTTTGCATTAAAATGCATAAAAATCTCACGTTTCTTCTTATGTTTAAAATAGTACTAGCCATAGTTGTTACCTGTTTATTATGATGAAGGATGTTTATATTAAGTGCTGAAAGTGACTCAGTATTGCCCAATCTGAACCTTGTGCGTCTTTACGCACGGATTTCTCCAGCTTTTCGACGCCGTTTTTGTTTGGTTTGCTCTATAACGCAGACACGCATTGCAKCACCGCATAGATTAAAGTTGAAGACAGATGGGTATATTATTAAAAATGTGCCTTTGTGTTGTTTCTATTGAATACGAGGCTTGTCCAAATCGCTTTGTGTTAGCTTGGGGGCGTAGCCGTGACGCACCGAAACCGACGCCACGGACCTGGATATATACCGCACCTCTCCCCCGTTACAGACACATCTCCTTCGACTTAGCTTGGAACACTTCTGTGGCGCAAACACGATACTGAAAATGTCTCCAAATATGACTTTTGAAAATCTCCCATCTTTCCCTCCAAGACTTACTATTGCCAAAAGAAAAGACGCTGTTGCACTGAGAAAGGTAAGGCGACTGAATTTAGGTAAAATTTCTTATTTTCTGTCTAGGCTGTAATGTAGGCTAAAGAATCTGTGTTTTTTTCCAGACAATGAAACCACTGATGGAGAAAAGAAGGCGTGCGCGCATCAATGACAGTTTGAACCTGTTGAAAAGTCTCATTCTTCCCCTCACAGGCAGAGATGTAAGTCATTTTTAATTATACAGAACTCACACATCAAAGACTAATAAAATCAAATCAGCTTTTCACACAAATAAAATCTACTTTTTTTTCTCTCTGCAGAAATCTCGCTACTCCAAACTGGAGAAAGCTGACATCCTGGAGATGACTGTGCGTTTTCTCAGTGATATCTCACCTATTAACACCAAAAGTAAGTTTTCCACTTTCTCTATTACTTATCAGAAGCATTTGAGTCTATTTCGTGAACCACAACTAAGATCCTTCTGTCTTTCCTCAGCAGACAGTTACAGAGAAGGTTACAAAGCCTGTCTCCAGCGCGTCTCCGCTCAGCTCCCCAAAACGAACTTGGGTCCAGACGCGTGCCAGCGGGTCAACGACTTCGTCCACAAGTCCATGTCTGCTCACTCCACCCCGACCTGCCAGAACTGCAGCGCGCAGAGCTCCGGGAGCTTTCCTCAGATGCATCAAAAACTCCTGAGCCTGAAATCCAGCTTCAGATCCAGGCTAGACAGCCAGCAGTCCCGCAGCGGAGCAGCAGCAGATCCATACCCGGAGGCAGACCCGGAGCCCCTCGGCGCTGCTGTGTGGAGACCCTGGTAGATCTGTGCAGGTTCCTCACGAAAGCTGTAAAAAAAATACACTGTAGTATGTTTGAAATTAGAAAAACGTGATAAAAAGGTAGAACCATTTGTAAATATGTAGCATTTTTCCCATTATTTGTTGTTAATTGCTCATAATTAAGTATTATATACTTAAGTTTTACGCGCGAGTCTCTTGTCCTGTATGAGTTGACAATTTTAGACAGTCGTATTTTTTCTTAAATCCGCATGTATGTACACGTCATATATTTAACATTTAGTTCCGCAGGACTAAATGATAGAGGGCTATTGAAACAGCCCCGTAAGACCCAAAGGGTCATTGTGTGTATAAATCTGCACACCAGACTTCTGTTTACCAGTCTGTGCAGATTGATCAGTAGACACAATGTGTCTCAGAGAGTATCTCTTTGGGGATGTGTTTTATTTGATTAATTTTGCTATATTCAGCAAATGTTGTATACATGATGTAAATAAAACTACAATATTGTGGTTATATCTTGAGTTGTGTTTTTGTTCACACTTTAAGGCAGTTTTTGAAACTATAACTTGTTTAATGCATGCCAGCATTACATGGAACAATGGGATTAAAACAGACAAATTATAAAATCAGAGATTCAGATTATAATTATAGTTACAGCATTTTACAAGTAGCCATACAGGAATAGTAAACACACTAAACACATAAACTGCTTTATTGTAGATAAACATAAATTAAATAGACAGTGGTCTTCAATCCTGCTTCTAGAGTCACTATCCTGAATCTAGAAAATTATCTGTTTCAATACACTTAATTTGAACCATTGCGTGATTAACAGGATTCTGCAGAACTTGAATACCTGCTGAATGAAATAGGGAAACAACTAAAACATGCAAGATTGTGGCCCTCGTGGACCTGTATTAAACATTAGACTATTAAACAAAGGTAGTAAACGTGTTTTAAATATGAAAACGGGCCAAAATGAAACATCCCAGGTTTGAATTTGATTATTTAGTGCCACAAACAGCCAAAAAGGGGTGACGTTCAGGTCAACAGCGCCCCCAAAAGGCGTAATAATGTCCAGCGCAAGTGAAGACAACGTTACTGTGGTCTCTGCTGCCCCCTACAGGTGAACTAAGGTACTCACGTGGTTTCGGTTCATGCCGCTCGAGCATCTTTCAATTCACCTTTCTGAAAAGATTTAGGCCAACATATAAAAAGTAACGGTTTATTTCTACCACTTTAGTACATTTTAGTACAAGTCAAAGTAATTAAGACCCTTTGAAAGATCGGTTTTGTTTGAATATCAACTAATATCCGGGCGGTTTCCTGTCCTCTTCCTTTCTCAGACGCAGCAGCCTGCACGCCGGTGAGGTGAGGTGGGGGAAGTCTGGGTTCACTTCACATCATCCGGCAGGAAACTGGCCGTGACAACATGTCGGTGCCACACATGCGAGAAGCATCATCATCATCCTCCCTCCAGTTATGCAGGTATGACGTTTACGACTCATTAGCAAATGTGCAGCTAAGTTGCGTGCGCTCATGCTAATGGGTGAGTGATGGAACAATGCAGCTATCATTTGCTCAGGCCAGGGGTAATAACCCCGATAATCCACGGCTTTAGTCCCTTCATAGCGTCACGCTTTCACCGTGTTCAGCCGGTGGTCGACAGATTTATTCTGTTCTTGTTTAGGTTAAATAAAGCCGGCTGTTTTAGATATCATTTAGCTAGTTGTGGGCTCTTCTCGTGACGTCAGTGCTCGACCTCGGCGGGGTTAACGCCGGTCGAAAACGGGAAAACCTGCCGATGACGACACGGTCGTGGTGCTTGGACTAAAAAAATAAAAAATTGCAAAAGTTTTATTCTGGACGTAAACGTCTGGTTTCCTAACTTCCACTTGTTAGTCCGGACTTGAAAACATGTTCTCGCTTGATTTGTTTTCCGAGGATATTTCAGAGAGAGGATTATCACACAGACAGGAGCTTTTCATGCAGTCACTAAGCAGTAAACACGGCTAGTATGTTAGCATAACAATCTGGAAAAACCCATTCAGTAAATAAACTAATTTCTCAGAAACATGCAGGTTTGTTGGTCGATTCTTCCTTTCGCCTCTAGGGGGCGCCAAATGATCTCTCTACAACATAATGAAGCCCATTTCCACCACTGACAGCTACAACTCAGCAGCCTATTATTATGACTGAGCATCTCATAAATAGCGAGATGTTAAGTCTTAATTTGGATATGCTAATTAAATGATGCTAAGTTATATATGAACGTCGTAAGCTAAAATTTTAAGAAATCAATGATTTTGATAATTGAGAGTCATRTTTTAAATAATTACTAGATGCTAAATCCAAATTGAAAGACTAGRACATTGTTTTGTGATGCTAAATCAAGGCAAAAATTAGCTTTTATAAAAATGAGGCACAAGTTAACAGGTTTACAACATATGGACTATTTTACAACTTTTCAAATACATCAAACCGAAGTAGTCTTTGCTCAGGAATCAACAGACTGCATTCAATTTTTGACATTCAGTCTCACCATTCTGAGCACGCACACTACCTGTGATGGTGGAAAGGAATAACTTATTCAAGTTTCCACACACCGAGCTAAAGTTAGACGTGAACACAGAGTCAGTCACAACACATTCAAGCTCTAACACATTTTGTGATATTGAGAATGCTCATAATATTTTCAAGGTTTGACCAGAACAGCGCCCTCATTTCTCAGTATAATATGACCCTAGTTAAATCTCTGGCATAAGAAGCATGGAGCTATATGTTTTCCTGCAAAGTTTTTTTATGAGTTCTCTACAGTTTGATCCTTCTAAGCATAGCTCTTAGTCCATGAAGGTCTATTTCAAGAAAAGCATATTTGAGATTATGTCCCATAAATTCTAAGAAAAACGTTTTAGTAATCCTGCAGATCTTTTGAAAGAAAAAGTGCATTTAAAATAAATCACCCAAACAAAAGCTTGGTGCAGCTTTAACTGGATTTTTCCTTGGTAGACTTGCCAAAACTTGCCAGAAGGGGCGTTATGAAGAGAGAACTAATCCAACTCCCCAAACCTTTGCTGTAAAATCTACACAAATGTAAAACTATTAAAAAGATGACAAAAAGGAATAAAATATAATCAAGTTTAAAACTGAAAAAGGAAGCCATTTTTGTTTTTCATCGGCCTTTGAACGTATGGTTATTTGCAAGTCAAATTTTCATTAACCGATCCAAAAACCATTTCTGTGCCCCTGTATAATATATTTCCTGCTCTTCCTGTCTGTTGTGACGCACCGGTACGTTGACAACAGCTTTATAAAATGTGCTTAGATCCAGTTTGGCTGGTCATGACTCGTAGGGCGTGTTAAACTAGATGACGTCAGGTGCCGCACTATCAGAGCCCAGGATCACAAAAAGTTGTGAATGTAGAGATCAGACACGCAGGGAGGTGAGGCAGTCTGTAAGATGCATTGCTCTGGGCCTCTGAGCAGCAAGGCAGCAGGTGAAGTGGATAAAACAGCAGCAGCCATGGGAAAACAGCGAGTCAACAGGGATGTTTGTAGAGGTGGGGAGGCTGGATCTCAGCAGGGCTCCCAAATCCAGCTCAGCAGGTACTTTTAATTCACTACATTTTTCCTTTTTCTTTGCAAGGTTACTCGTTAATTAAAACAGTTTTCTAGTCTCTTATCTAACCATTAAATGTCCCTACTTAGCTTAGGTGACCTTTAAATTAAAATCAGACTCTTGAAGCTCTTAACTTTTCATATTTAAAACACGCTAAGAGATGCCGAATGAAGAGCAACTTGTCACCCTGCATACTTCCAATGATACTTAATATTGTTTCTGTCATAGTAGTTGATGAAGAGCTGTTACTGTCTGGCTGTGATAAGTTTCAAAATAAAAGTTCATTAACACTTTTTTGGTACAACAGCTTTTACTGAAAGTGTTGGTCCTTTCTCTGGTTGCTCTCACTTCCTTTTCAGTGCTATCATGRTGCAGTTTTATTTCCTCTCCTAACTAAACAATTTATTGTTATCTTCCATTGAGCAGATTGAACGCAATTTTTTTTAAATGGAAAAAAGCAAAACAAATTCTGTGTAACGTAATGGATGACTAACAATGTTCAAATGTGGGTTTTTGCGGCATTTAACAGTCTAATTCAGAGACGGTCAGATCTTAAAGAGACAAAGAAAGTATTTGTGGTTTGACTTTTGCATGTCTGGGACCTGGGAATCTGAGATTAGAACCTGCTAGACTAGTTTAATCCACACACAAAAAAAGAATTGGATGGAGATAAAGTTTTTCCAATTGATCCAAGTTGTTAATGGTTTGTGAGTGCACTTTGTCAAATAATTTAAAACCCTCTCTAAGTTTTATAACTTTCAAAAACAGCTTCATGTAAGTGCAAAAGAAATTAAACTGCGTAATGAGTGTAAATTGCCTCAGGTGACTAAAACCTATGAAGTAAATGGTTTTAGCCTTTAAAGGAAAACTTCTCAACAYGTGCACACCCTGTGATTACCACTCCTTCTGCATTTAACAGTTATTCCGTCTACGATTTGGCTCMGAGTCAGTGGGCATGGCTGACAGGATTTCATGTGTTGGATTAGCAACAATTTACAGCTCGGGGACAGAAACGCTTTAACTTAATGTTAGACAATAGCTTGTTCAGATGTACAGACGTGCTCACGTGTTTCTCTCACTGCTGCAGGGTTATGCGGCCGGACGATGCCAATATTATGGGCAACGTTCACGGCGGCATCATCCTCAAGATGATTGAGGAAGCTGGAGGGATTGTCGGCACCCGACACTGCAACACACTGAATGGGGTAACCAAATTCTTTATTTTTCTACTGGGGATAAAATGTCAGATCTGGTGTTGAACTTAAAAAAAAAAAAAACTAGAATCAGAATAAACAAACCACAACACATTATGACTGTTTCCAAATTCAGGAGCTGCATCCGGTTACTTCACGGCGATGTGCGGAAGGCTGTCCAATTTCGAAGGCTCTCCCAGTAGACCATTTTGTAGTTAGAAATGCGCATAGTGAAGCCTAGCTTTTCCRGGTCACAGGTTAACTGGATAAAAGTTGAGGTTGCTTTATGAAAACACTATTGTAATTACGCAAACTCAATAAGCTCAAAAAGCACATCTATGATCCTAAAGGAAAGTTTAACACAAATCAGTTTAGAGCAAATACATCTAGTCAGTRTAATGACATAAATCTATCTGTTGAATTTGTGCAATTACAATGGCATTTCTATAAAAACCTCAGCTTTATCCCAATAAACCTTCTCTAAATGTGAGGTCRGCCCGCTTCGCGCATTTGTGATAATTTCTAACTAAAAAAATGGTCTATTGCGGTCCACAAATGTGTCATCCCTTTCCCCTGATTTGAATGACGGGTTCGGTAGATCCTTCTCGGTCCAGCCTATCCCAAGATGCATGGCGGGGCGACTGGGACATTTTATTTTTGCATGTAATGGCAGATGAATCAAGAGAAAGGAGTAGAGTTCTTAAAGGGGCAATGTCACGTAAAATCAACTTTTTTGAGTTTTATATCATTTTATAATGTTATACTC